CCATTTTCTACATCCTCCAGTGTAATTTCTATGACATTCTACTACAGGAAGTTGACAATGGAGGGCTTAGAAATGCTAGATAAGTCCTCTCTGGACATTTTCAAGGTCTTCTAGTCCATTTCTATGACACGCTACTACAGAAAGCTGAGACTGGAGGACTTAGAAGTGCTAGAGGTGTTCTCCCTAAGCATTTCTAGATCCTCCAGTGCATTTCTATGATATGCTACTACAGGAAGTTGACAGTGGAGGACTTAGAAATGCTAGAGATGTTTTCCATAGACATTTTCCTCTAGTTCATTTCTATGACATGGTACTACAGAAATTGGCAGTGGAGAACTTCGAAATGCTGGAGATATGTTCTGTAGGCATTTTCAAGGTCCTCCAGTCCATTTCTATGATATGCTACTAAAGGAAGTTGACACAGAAGAGCTTAGAAATTCTAGAGATATTCTCTGTAGACATTTTCAAGGTCCTCTAGTCCATTTCTATGACATGGTACTACAGGAAGCTGGGACTGGAGGACTTAAAAGTGCTAGAGATGTTCTCCGTAGCCATTTTCTACATCCTCCAGTGTAATTTCTATGACATTCTACCACAGGAAGTTCACTGGAGGACTTAGAAATACTAGAGATGTTCTCCCTAAGCATTTTCTATGTCCTCCAGTCCATTTCTCTGATATGCTACTACAGAAGTTGACAATGAAGACCTTAGAAATGCTGGAGATATTCTCTGTAGGCATTTTCTAGGTCCTCCAGTGAATTTCTGTGATATCCATTACAGGAAGTTGACAATGGAGGGCTTAGAAGTGCTAGAGGTGTTCTCCCTAAACATTTCGAGGTCCTCCGGTTCATTTCTATGACCTGTTACTAAAGGAAGTTGACCTTGGAGGACTTAGAAGTGCTAAAGATGTTCTCCATAGGCATTTTCTAGGTCCTCCAGTGCATTTCTCTGATATGCTATTGCAGGAAGTTGACAGTGGAGGGCTTAGAAATGCTAGAGATGTTCTCCATATGCATTTTCTAGGTCCTCTAGTCCATTTCTATGACATGCTACTACAGGAAGCTGAGACTGGAGGACTTATAAGTGCTAGAGGTATTCTCCCTAAGCATTTCTAGATCCTCCAGTGCATTTCTATGACCTGTTACTAAAGGAAGTTGACCTTGGAGGACTTAGAAGTGCTAAAGTTGTTCTCCATAGGCATTTTCTAGGTCCTCCAGTGCATTTCTCTGATATGCTATTACAGGAAGTTGACAGTGGAGGGCTTAGAAATGCTAGAGATGTTCTCCATATGCATTTTCTAGGTCCTCTAGTCCATTTCTATTACATGCTACTACAGGAAGCTGAAACTGGAGGACTTAGAAATGCTAGAGGTATTCCCCCTAAGCATTTCTAGACCCTCCAGTGCATTTCTATGACCTGTTACTAAAGGAAGTTGACCTTGGAGGACTTAGAAGTGGTAAAGATGTTCTCCATAGGCATTTTTTAGGTTCTCCTGTGCACTTCTATGACCTGCTACTACAGGAAGTTGACATTGAAGAGCTTAGAAATTCATCCTCCAGTGAATTTCTATGATCTGCTACTAAAGGAAGTTGACCTTGGAGGACTTAGAAGTGCTAAAGATCTTCTCCAAAGGCATCTTCTAGGTTCTCCATTGCATTTCTATGACCTGCTACTACAGGAAATTCACTGGAAGACTTAGAAGTGCTAGGGGTGTTTCCCTTAGGCATTTTTTAGGTCCTCTGGTCCATTTCTGTGACCTCCTACTATAGGAAGTTGACAATGGAGGACTTAGAAGTGCTGTGTTCTCTCTAGGCTTTTTCTAGGTCCTCCAGCACATTTCTATGATGTAAAATAAATATGCTAATATAGAAAGTTCACATCTCTAGAAGTGCTAGAGATGTTTTCCCTAGGCATTTTCTGGGTCATCCACTGCATTTATGTGACATGCTACTACAGGAAGTTCACACTGGAGAGCTCAGAAATACTAGAGATAGTCTCTGTAGGCATTTTCTAGGTCCTCTAGTACATTTCTGGGATATATTACAGGAAGTTGGCAATGGAGGGCTTAGAAATGCTAGATATGTCCTCTCTAGACATTTTCAAGGTCCTCTAGTCCATTTTTATGACATGCTACTACAGGAAACTGAGACTGGAGGACTTAGAAGTGTTAGAGATGTTCTCCGTAGCCATTTTCTACATCCTCCAGTGTAATTTCTATGACATTCTACTACAGGAAGTTCACTGGAGGACTTAGAAATACTAGAGATGTTCTCCCTAAGCATTTTCTAGGTCCTCCAGTCCTTTTCTCTGATATGCTACTACAGAAGTTGACACTGAAAAGCTTAGAAATTCTAGAGATATTCCCTGTAGGCATTTTCAAGGTCCTCCAGTCCATTTCTATGATATGCTACTACAGAAGTTGACACTGAAGAGCTTAGAAGTGCTAGAGATGTTTTCCCTAAGCACTTTCTAGGTCCTCCAGTCCATTTCTATGACATGCTACTAAAGGAAGTAGACACTGAAGTTCTTAGAAATGCTGGAGATATCTCTGTAGGCATTTTCAAGGTCCTCCAGTCCATTTCTATTATATGCTACTACAGAAGTTGACACTGAAGAGCTTAGAAATGCTAGAGATATTCTCTGTAGGCATTTTCAAGGTCCTCCAGTCCATTTAGTGTCAACTAAAGGAAGTTGGCACTGAACAGCTGCCACGTGGTCCCATTACAGACAAAAAAAAACCCACAACGTCTGGGTCGTTACGGCCTGTTGGGGTTCAGCCTGGGTGTGAACCTGAACCTGAACCTGCTTCTCTGATTGTATTTCCTGATGCTACTGAAAATGATTCTAATGAAAATGTATTTCCTGATGCTAATGAAAATGTTGATTCTGAGGTCAGTGTAGACGAAACTCCTGCAGGCTTGGAAACTGAAAGTACACATTCTCCTGAGAATGTTTCAGGGTCAAGCGGTGATAGCTCTCCAGAGAAACTAACACCTGGGATCCTTAATGAGGATAGAAGAGGACAGATTTGGAAAAGCAGGAGTGAATCGCAGAGTCTGCGAAGGTCAAGCAGATTAAAAGAAAGAGAAACAAGGGCTTCAAAGCCTGGAGGCGTGTCACAAAACAGTTTCCTCGGCTTTAAGTGCCTCTCGCTGGGTTGACTCTTTAGATCGGGCATCGTTTTAGACTGAGGCATTACCTTGGCAGATCTCCCGTTTCCCGTGGCCTTCATCCCAAGAGGCTTCTAGTGCTCCAAGTACGGTTAGTGGATTGCTAACAGGTTCCAGGATTTTACAGTGTTGCTTTGGGTTTTTGATCCAGTACATGGAAATGTCTGATTGCTGATTTTTACTGTGGCTTTTTGGCTGTGCATTTTCCTCTATTTTGTAACCATTTTTCATCAATAAAAAGGGATTGTTTTTCCTACAATCAAGTGTGGTGGATGGTTATATTAGGGCAGGGGTCCCCAAACTACGGCCCGCGGGCAGTATGCGGCCCGCCGAGGGCATTTCTCCGGCCCGCCTGGCCTGGCCACGCCCACCCGCCGCCACTCAGCCAGTTGCGGACACCCTCTGCTCCGGCCGCTCTGCCTGTGTGGGAGGGAGAAGCCTCCCAGGTGGGTCCTCTGCAGAGCAGAGCGGCTGGAGCAGAGGGTGTCCGCAATTCACGGAGCGGCGCTGGGTGGTCGTGGCCAGGGAACGCCGGCGTGGTGAAGGCAGGTGAACTACAACTCCAAAACTCAAGGTAAATGCCCACTAAACCCAGTATTTTCTGTTGTTCATGGGAGTTCTGTGTACCAAGACTGGTTCAATTCCATCATTGGTGGAGTTCAGAATGCTCTTTGATTGAACTATAAATCCCAGCAAATACAACCCCCAAACGCCACCAGTGTTCACATTTGGACATATTGAGTATCAGTGGCAAGTTTGGTCCAGATCTATCATTGAGTCCACAGTGATTTATGGAGGCAGGTGAACTACAACTCCAAAACCAAAGGACACTGCCCACTAAACCCTTCCATTATTTTCTGTTGGTCATGGGAGAACTGTGTGCCAAGTTTGGTTCAATTCCATCATTGATGGGCTTCAGAATGCTTTTTGATTGTAAGTGAACTATAAATCCCAGCAACTACAACTTCCAAATTTCAAGAATCTATTTTCCCCAAACTCCACCAGTGTTCAAATTTGGGCATATTGAGTATTTGTGCCAAGTTTGATCCTGATCCATCATTGTTTGAGTCCACATTGATCTCTGAATGTAGGTGAACTGCAACTCCAAAACCAAAGGACACTGCCCACCAAACCCTTCCAGTATTTTCAGTTGGTCATGGGAGAAATGTGTACCAAGTTTGGTTCAATTCCATCGTTGGTGGGCTTCAAAATGCTCTGTGATTGCAGTTGAACTATAAATCCCAGCAACTACAACTCCCAAATGACAAAATCAATTTTTTGTGTGAAGGACATACATTGGCTTGTTAGGTGTCTTGTGTCCAAATTTGGTGTCAATTCGTCCAGTGGTTTTTGAGTTCTGTTAATCCCACAAACGAACATTACATTTTTATTTATATAGAAGTGTGGGTTTTTGTTTTTTGATTTTTTTTGGGGGGGGGGGTTCACTGCAAATAATATATGTGCAGAGTGCATAGGAATTCATTCATTTTTCTTTTCGTTTGTGGGATTAACAGAACTCAAAACCCACTGGACGAATTGACACCAAATTTGAACACAAGACACCTAACAACCCAATGTATGTCCTTCACTCAGAAAAATTGATTTTGTCATTTGGGAGTTGTAGTTGTATAATCCGGCCCTCCAACAGTTTGTGGGACTGTGACCCGGCCCTCTGTTCAAAAAGTTTGGGGACCCCTGTCTTAGGGTCTCGTTTCCTGCTCTGGGTTGCAACACGGCCATCCGACCAAGCTGGATTGTCCAAAGTGTACCAACCACCCCGACCACCGACCATCCGTGAATTTCCTGTCACTTGGCTTCTCTCTTCCGCAGGTCGACGGGCTTCTTTTCTATCACAAGGAGAGCCACTACAACCCCGGCAGCACCCCTTTGGTGGGCTGGCTGCGTCCCTACATGGTTTCCGACATCCTGGGCCTGCCGGTGCCCTCGTGCCCGCTCACCGCCAAGCCCGAATACGCCCAGCACCAACTGCAGCAGATCATCCAACACAAGAAGGGCCCGAAGCCGGAGGGTTCCCCCGAGGTCAACCGGGACGCCCAGAACGGGCGCTACGAACTGGAGCACCTCTCCACCCCGAAGCCCGAGAAGTCTCGTCGTGCCTCGGAGGACACCGCCAGCGAGATGGAGAATTTGGAAATATGACCTTTCTCCCGCCGCGGAGACGATCTCCAGGTTGAACTCGGTCCACATTGGGGGTGCTATTTTGGGGGGCCCCAGAGCCCCTCGATCTGAATAGAAATCACAATACTTATTTCTAAAAAAATTTTTGGACACATTCATTTGAGCAGCCGGGACTTCTTCGCCACTTTCCACCCTATTTAGATCACGTTCACTTTCAAAATAAATAAGATATGTCAAGTATCCGTACTCATTGAGGAAGGGAGGTTCGGCCTTCCATCCATCCACCATCTGCACACATTGGTTGTTTCCTAATGTATTGGTTTCGGGCGCACCGAACACAATAAAGGACTTTGGAGAGATTTGGAAAGATTCCAGTGTCTTTAAGGAGTTTTTTAGCCGATAAAGCCCAAATTATTGTCACTTAAGAGAACTTGGGACCTTTATTTTTAACTAGCTTGGGGACCTGGCGGTGCCCGGGCATTGTGTGCCAAGGTTGGTTTTGATCAGTTATTTATGTGGCTCACAGTGCTCCTGGAAAGTTAGTGAGGGTACTGCAAGTCCCATCGTCCATGGTCCACCCTCCTCCAAACCACACCAGGATGTAGAGTGTGTCATGAGTGCTCTGTGTGCCAAGTTTGGTCTTTCTCGGTCATTGAATGTGGGTCACAGCAGTCTCGGGAAGTGAGTGGAGGTACTTCAAGTCCCATCGTCCACGGTCCAACCTCCTCCAAACCACAGAGTGTGTCATGAGTGCTCTGTGTGCCAAGTTTGGTCTTTCTCAGTCTCTGAATGTGGGTCACAGCAGTCTCGGGAAGTGAGTGGAGGTACTTCAAGTCCCATCATCCATGGTCCACCTTCCTCCAAACTGCAGTAGGATGTAGAGTAGGTCATTGGGGATTCTGTGTGCCAAGTTTGGTCTTTATCAGTCTTTTTTGGGCGCCGCAGTGGTTTGTGGGATCTGAAAGGTCTGAAAATACTACACATCCCATCATCCATTGTCTGTCCTCCCCCAAACCTCACTAGGATGTAAAGGCGGCCATAGGGTTTATGAGTGCCAAGTTTGGTCTTGATCAGTCATTGGATGAGGGTCGCAGTGGTCTCGGGAAGTGAGTGGAGGTACTTCAAGTCCCATCATCCATGGTCCTCCCTCCTCCAAACTGCAGTAGGATGTAGAGTGGGTCATGGGGGCTCTGTGTGCCAGGTTTGGTCTTCATCGGTCTTTGTTGGGGGCCACAGTGGTCTGTGGGAACCAAAGCGTTTGAAAGTATTACAAATCCCATAATCGGTGGTCCAACTCAACCAAACCGCATCAGGATGTAAAGTGGGTCATGGGGGTTATGTGTGCCAAGTTTAGTCCAGGTTCACCATTCGTGGCGGTCACAGTGGCTTGTGAAAGTGGCAGCCAATCAGAAAGCTGCCACATACACCGCCCTCCCTCCCTCCGCATACAAACATTGACTTTTATTAGATAGATAGATAGATAGATAGATAGATAGATAGATAGATAGATGACAGCAGCTCCCTGAATCCAACACATTGATGTTTGATGCGGGATTCTGGGACATATCCTACATAAAAAAGAATGAGAGAGCTGGGGAAGACCTCCAAGGGCCATTCAGTCCAACCCCCTTCGGTGCAGTAATACACAATCAAAGCACTCCCGACAGATGGCCATTCCACCTCTGCTTAAAGACTTTCAGAGACTCCATCACATTCTAAGGTAGTATTGAAAGAGCTGTCCTTTTTGGAGATGCGTTGGTTGCAACTGACTTATCAAAATGGGTCACCACAGTGTCCCCCTTTTTTGGAGTACATTATTATTATTATTATTATTATTGTTAAATTATTATGTTATAATATTATTTTATTTAACTTATTATGTTGTTAAATTATTGTTTTTATTAAGTTATTATTAAGTTATTATAATTATATTAACATTATTTTATTAAATTATTGTTTTATTAAATTACTATTTTGTTAAATTATTTATATTAAATTACCATTTTAGTACATTGCTCTTATTTTATTATTGTATTAAATTGATTTTATTATTATATTCAATTATTTTACTAAATTACTATTTTAATTTATTATTATATTGAATTGTTATTATTTTATTGTGTTAAATTATTATTCAATTATTATAATTATATTATATTAGTATTATTTTATTAAGTTATTGTTTTATGAAATTGTTATTTTTAGTAAATTATCATTTTAGTAAATTGTTATTTTATTTTATTATTATTTTGTTATTATTTTATTAAATTGTTCCATTAAATTACTTTTTTATTTTATTATTATATTAAATTGTTATTATTTTACTATGTTTATTACTAAATTATAATTATGTTAGTATTATTTTATTAAACTATTGTTTTGTGAAATTATTATTATTTTATTGAATTAGTACAAATTATTATTTTATTTTATTATTATTTTACTAAATTATTTTATTAAATTGTTTCATTAAATTACTCTTTTATTTTATTATTATATTAAATTATTATATATTACATTATTATATTAAATTACTATAAATATATTATATTAGTATTGTTTTGTTAAATTGTTATTTTAGTAAATTATTCTTATTATATTAAATTTTAATTTTATTATTATATTAAATTATGATTTTATTAAATTATTATAAATATATTATATTAGTATTATTTTATTAAATTGTCGTTTTATTAAATTGTTATTTTAGTAAATTATTTTTATTATTATATTAAATTATGATTTTATTAAATTATTATAAATATATTATATTAGTATTATTTTATTAAATTGTCGTTTTATTAAATTGTTATTTTAGTAAATTATTTTTATTATTATATTAAATTATGATTTTATTAAATTATTATAAATATATTATATTAGTATTATTTTATTAAATTGTCGTTTTATTAAATTGTTATTTTAGTAAATTATTTTTATTATTATATTAAATTATGATTTTATTAAATTATTATAAATATATTATATTAGTATTATTTTATTAAATTGTCGTTTTATTAAATTGTTATTTTAGTAAATTATTTTTATTATTATATTAAATTATGATTTTATTAAATTATTATAAATATATTATATTAGTATTATTTTATTAAATTGTCGTTTTATTAAATTGTTATTTTAGTAAATTATTTTTATTATTATATTAAATTATGATTTTATTAAATTATTATTATGACTTTCCTTCCTCCCTCCATCTCCAGTAGCTATAAATACTGCCTCCATTTCTCTGAAATTACATCATGTGCAATGCTTAGAGTTCCTGATAAGCAGGAATATTTATGTTTTTCTTCTGTTCACAGACAGAAGGGCCATTTCAATCCCTCCTTTCCCCGCTCCCTCCGTCCTTCTCAGAAATCCTTGTTTTCCCTGCCAAGAATGCGGCCATTTGATTCCTGATAACACAAGCCGGCAACATCTTTGGTGGCACAAAACTGGCATCGACTCAGCCCACAAAGATCAATGTGCGCCCTGGACCTTTGTGGACTGAAGGCAGGAACAGGAAAACCCCAAAACCACCGAAAGCGGCTTGCAGAACCCTCCATTCAACCTTGTGTTGGTTTGCTCGCCTGCTCAAGTTTCTAGTCCTTATTGGTAGCTCAAAACAATGCGCCACCATCATCCATCCTAAAAGTCATGGGCAAATGTGACATTTATTTGGCACTAGCTTGCATATCCAGCGTTGCCCGGGTTATGGTTGTGGGTGAACTACGACTCCCTGAAACTCCCATCAGTGCTTAACGTTGGTTGCATTGTGCAATTTGCTCCAAATCCGTGGTTCCCAACCTTTGGGCCTCCAGGTATTTTGGACTTTGACTCCCAGAAATCCAGGTAAGAGCTGTGGGAGCTGAAGTCCAAAACACTCAGAGGCCCAAAGGTTCTAGACGCATCATGGGTTGGGTTCAGTATGGTGTCAGGTTGCAGGATACACTACAGCTCCCACCATGGTGAGTCAGCCCCCTCAAATCCTTCCAGTAGGTTCAGCTGGTCATCGAGGTTCATCACAGTGTCTCCAAGTTTGGTCCAGATCCATCATTGGTGGTGGTCACAGTGTCTTCAAGTTTGGTCCTGATCCATCATTGGCGGTGGTCACAAGTTTAGTCCAGATCCATCATTGGTGGTGGTCACGGTGTCTCCAAGTTTGGTCCAGATCCATCATTGGTGGTCACAAGTTTGGTCCAGATCCGTCATTGGTAGTGGTCACAGTATCTCCAAGTTTGGTCCAGATACATCATTGGTGGTGGTCACAAGTTTGGTACAGATCCATCATTGGTGGTGGTCACAAGTTTGGTACAGATCCATCACTGGTGGTGGTCACAAGTTTGGTCCAGATCCATCATTGGTGGTGGTCACAAGTTTGGTCCAGATCCATCACTGGTGGTGGTCACAAGTTTGGTCCAGATCCATCACTGGCGGTGATCACAAGTTTGGTCCAGATCCATCACTGGTGGTGGTCACAAGTTTGGTCCAGATCCATCACTCCTTCCTGTCCCCCTCTTTCTTTCTTTCCCTCCCTCCTTCCTTCCTCTTCCCTCTCTCCTTCTCCTTTCTCTCCTCCTTTCATTCCCCCCTCCCTCCTTCTCCTCCTTCCTGCCCCTTTCTTTCTTTTCCTCCCTCCCTCTCTTCTCCTTCCCTCTTTCTTTCTTTCTCTCCTCCCTTTCCCATTCTCTTCCACTCTTTCCCTTCCCTCTCTCCTCCTCCCCTTTTTCTCCTCTTCCTCTCCTTCTTTGCCCCTTCCTTCCTCTCCTCCTTTCCTTCTCCCACCCTTCATTCCTTCCTTCTTCCCTCTTTCACTCCTTTTCCAATTCCTCCCTTTTCTCTTCCTCTCTCCTCCTCCCTCTTCTTCTCCTCTTCCTCTCCTTTTTCCCTTCCTTTCTCTCCTTCTTTCCTCTCCCACCCTTTATTCCTTCCTTCTCTCCTTCTCCTCTTTCTCTCCCCCTTCCTTCCTCTCTCTCTCATTCCCTCCCTCCCTCCTTCCCTCTCCTCCTTCCTGTCCCCCTCTTTCTCTCCCCCCTCCTCTCTCTTCTTCTCTCTCTCTCTTCCACTCATTCTCTTCCACTTTTTCCCTTCCCCCTCTCCTCCTCCCCTTTTTCTCCTCTTCCTCTCCTTCTTTTCCTCTTCCTTTCTCTCCTTCTTTCCCTCTCCCACCCTTTATTCCTTCCTTCCTTCTCTCCTTCTCTCCTCTTCTCTCCTCCTCCTTTCCCCCTTCCTTCCTTCCTCTCTTTCCCTTCCCCTTCTCCTCCTTCCTTCCCTTCCTTCCTTTCTATCTCTCCCCCTTCTTTCTGTCTCTCCCTTCCTTTCTTTCTCTCCTCCCTTTCTCATTCTCTCTTCCACTCTCTCCCTTCCCTCTCTCCTCCTCTCCTGTTTCTCCTCTTCCTCTCCTTCTTTGCCCCTTCCTTTCTTTCTTTCCCTCTCCCACCCTTTATTCCTTCCTTCCTCTTCCCTCCCTCCTTCTCCTTCCTGCCCCTTTCTTTCTTTTCCTCCCTCCCTCTCTTCTCCTTCCCTCTTTCTTTCTTTCTCTCCTCCCTTTCCCATTCTCTTCCACTCTTTCCCTTCTCTCTCTCCTCCTCCCCCTTTTCTCCTCTTCCTCTCCTTCTTTGCCCCTTCCTTTCTCTCCTTCTTTCCCTCTTCCACCCTTTATTCCTTCCTTCCTTCTTCTCTTTCTCTCCTCCTCCTTTCCTTCCTTCCTTCTCTTCCTCCCTCCTCCTCCTTCCTGTCCCCTCCTTCTTTCTTTCTTTCTTTCTCTTTTCCTTCCTCTCTCCTCTCTTCTTCCTTCTCTTTCTTTCTTTCTCTCCTCCCTTTCCATTCTCTTCCACTCTTTCCCTTCCCTCTCTTTCTCCCCTTCTTTTCTTCTTCCTCTTCCTTCTTTCCCTTCCTTTCCTCTTCCTTTCCTTCCCCTTTTTCTTCCTTCTCTCCTCCTCCTTTTTCCCCCTTCCTTCCTTCCTTCCTTCCTCTCTCATTCCTCCTCCTTCTCCTCCTTCCTGTCCCCCTCTTTCTCTCTCTCCCTCCTCCTTTCTTCCTCTTTCCTCCTTCTCTTCCTTCCTCCCTCTTCCTCATTCTCTCTTCCACTCTTTCCCTTCCCTCTCTCCTCCTCCCCTTTCTTTTCCTCTTCCTCTCCTTCTTGCCCCTTCCTTTCCTCCTTCTTTCCCTCTCCCTTTATTCCTTCCTTCCATCTCTCCTTCTCCTCCTCCTTTCCCCTTCCTTCCTCTCTCATTCCCTCCCTCCCTCCTCCTTCTTGTCCCCCTCTTTCTTTCTTTCTTTCCTTCCTTCCCTCCCTCTTTTCTTCCTGTCTTTCCTCCCTTTCTCATTCTCTCTTCCACTCTTTCCCTTCCCTGTCTCCTCCTCCTCTTTTTCTCCTCTTCCTCTCCTTCTTTTCCCCTTCCTTCCTCTCCTCCTTTCCCTCCCCCAGTCTGTATTCCTTCCTTCTTCTCCCCTCTCTCCTTTTCCCTTTTTTCTTCCTCTTTCACCTTTCCCATTCCCTTCCTTCCTTCCTTCCTTCCTTCTCCTTCCTTTCCCTCTCCCTTCTTCCTTCCTCTCCTTCTTCGCCTCTTCCTTTCTCCTCCCCTTCCTTTCCTCTCTCATTCCCTCCCTCCTCCTTCTTGTCCCCCTCTTTCTTTCTTTCTTTCTCCTCCCTCTTCTTCTTCCTCTTCCTCCCTTTCTATTTCTCTTCACTCTTTCCCTTCCCTCTCTCCTCCTCCCCTTCTTTTCCTCTTCCTCTCCTTCTTTGCCCCTTCCTTTCTCTCCCCAGTCTGAATTCCTTCCTTCCTCTTCCCTCTTTCTTTCTCTCCTCCTTTCTCATTCTCTCTTCCACTCTCTCCCTTCCCTCTCTCCTCCTCTCCTGTTTCTCCTCTTCCCCTCCTTCTTTGCCCCTTCCTTTCTTTATTTCCCTCTCCCCCCTTTATTCCTTCCTTCCTTCTCTTTCTCTCCTCCTCCTTTCCCCCTTCCTTCCTTTCTCATTCCCCCTTCCCCTTCCTGCCCCCCTTTCTTTCTTTCTTTCCCTCCCTCTTTCTTTCTTTTTCTCCTCCCTTTCTCATTCTCTCTTCCACTCTTTTCCTTCACTCTCTCCTCCTCCCCTTTTTCTCCTCTTCCTCTCCTTTTTTGCCCCTTCCTTTCTCTCCCCCTTTCCTTCCCCCAGTCTGTATTCCTTCCTTCCTTCCTTCCTTCCTTCCTTCC